TGCTTCCACACTGCATCTTTCTCCTTTCTCTTTTACTTTTACCCTTTGTTCTTCTTAGTGTGCTGTTAGTGTTTTCACTTTATTGCATTCTTTAGAAACTTTTTAATTCCCTCTCACGTATTTTCATGTGTTTTACGTCTCATACATAAGTTTATTTTATATTATTTACATTTTATTACTTGGCACTCTTTTTCTTCCTTTTGTACCTTTTTAAAAATTGTACATTTTTTATCTTTTATCCCCTTTGTGTTTATATAGTTCATTATTCAAGCTTTTTATCAGTGAGATTTTCCCTCTTCTTTTCGTTATTTTTTTCTAAACCCTTTCTCTCTTCACTTCCCCATCCATGACATACTTTCCCATCCCTCTTTTTCTTTCTTTTACTGGAGCTTGCTTTTCTTCTTTCTCCTTTCCGTACTTCATATTCTTGCTATTTTTACATTTACCCTACATAATCTTAAGGTTCACAGCATCCTCTACATTAGTGTTGGAAATCTGTTCCTTGGTTATTGGCCATACATTGCTGAACTCAGTCACTTTGAGTGTGTTTTTATGTCTTCCTTTGCTGCATCTCAGCACTTTGTTTCTCCTCTAGGCGTGCGGTGCTGGGGACTGAGCCTTGGAGAGTGAGGGCACTAGGTCAGAATAACAGCAAGAAAGCCAGTAAGACACCTTCAAATCAATAGATACCAAAACTGCACACAGAAATGCAAGAAACAAGAGTGAAAAAACATGACAACTCCTCCAAACAACAACAATAACAAAACAACTATCCAGGCGTGGTGGTGCACACCTTTAATCCCAGCTATTGGCTGAGCTTTTATAATTAATAATAAGTCTCTGTGTCATTATTTGGGAACTGACTGGAGGGACAGAGAAAGACTTGCTATGGAGTCCCAGGTCATTCAGGATATATAATTAGACCCTGTCTCAAAACAAAACAGTTTGACCACTGGATTCAAAGATTCTGAAACAGGTAAAATGCTGGGTGACTTAAGAAGTTTACTAGTAAAAATACTTTAAGACCTCAAAAAAGATTCAAACAAAAAAGATTAATTCAGTCAAGGACCTGGAGAGGAAAGTCAGCTGCACACATATGCTTAGCAAAATAGATGAGAAAAATCAGCAATATGGCTTTTTTTTTAAAAAATCGGCTACATGGAAGTACAATTCAGCTGAGATTCTGGGGGAAATTATACAAATAGAAATGTTGTAAATGAAAAAATAAATCAAACAATCAAAAAGCAAAGCAAAGGAGTCCTGTTGGAAGTAAAAATGCTAAAATACCATATTTTCTTCCCCCACAATTTCCTATACCTTTTGGGAAGGCTCAGTGGGAACTTAGGGGCCTGTGGGGGGTGTGCATTAGGAACTAGACCATGTGAGGAGTCAGGAAAATAGAATGTGTGCCCAAAGCAGGTGAATTTCCTGACTATACTGGATCTTCCCTCTGTCTTATCATCCTCCTTTTTATAATGTGATAGAGTGCAGGCCTTCTCTGAGTCCTGCTCAGGTACGCACTGTTCTTCCCTGAAGAAACTCTGTGGGATGGAATGGATGTGTTAGGTTCCCAAGAACCTTCGGAGAAGCTTCCGAGTTCTTTACAAATATAAGGAACCCTCACTCTACTCCTACCCAAATCTCCTAGGACCTGACAGCAGAGGGGAAGGAAAGAAGGGTTAAGGGCGTGGCGGAGGGAGGGGCGTGGCCTCAGACAGGGGCAAATGGTACAGTGAGGGGCGGTCCGGGAGGCGGGGCGGTCCGGGAGGCGGGGCGGTCCGGGAGGCGGGGCGGTCCGGGAGGCGGGGCGGTCCGGGAG